GCTCATACAGCTGAATTAACCATATTGGGGATAACTGAGGTGATTATTTAGGGTCTTGAGTCCATAGAGAAGGAGAGACCTGAGAAAGGACGGGAAAGTTTGAGAGGCTTCAGCGAGTTACCCATCATCCACCTGAAATGTAAAACTGGTACTGTAGCTGCTTCTGCTTTTTAGTTTTGTTGTGAGACTACCTGAATAATAAAGTTGTGTGTATTTTAAGCTTTGTACTCTTCTGTTTTCACCGGCTCCTCGGAACAAAAACGGATGCAGGTTTCCAATTTAGGTTGCAGTTCCTGCACACTTAGTCAACATCTGCTCCATGCAGTGAAAGCACTGTCATGACTTCCCCTAAAGAATTCTGGGAGCTGTAGATTATTAAGGGTGCTGAGGGGTGTTAGGGGAGGCCCCTATTCTCCTCACAGAGCTACAGCTCCCAGAGTTCCTAAGGAAGAGAGGCTGATAGTTAAACCACTCTGTCTAGACACTCAAAGAACCCTTAAACGTTTTTGTTGTTTAGTTGTGTCCGACTCTTTGTGACCCCATGGACCAGAGCACGCCAGGCACTCCTGTCTTCCACTGCCTCCCACAGTTTGGTCAAACTCATGTTAGTAGCTTTGAGAACACTGTCCAACCAGCTTGTCCTCAATCTTTCCCAACATCATGGTCTTTTCCAGGGAGTCTTCTCTTCTCGTGAGGTAGCCAAAGTATTGGAGCCTCAGCTTCATGATCTGTCCTTTCAGTGAGCACTCAGGACTGATTTCCTTCAGAATGGATAGGTTTGATCTTCTTGCAGTCCATGGGGCTCTCAAGAGTCTCCTCCAGCAACATAATTCAGAAGCATCAATTCTTCGGCGATCAGCCTTCTTTATGGTCCAGCTCTCACTTCCATACATCACTACTGGGAAAACCATAGCTTTAACTATATGGACCCATGGCGGCAAAGTGATGTCTCTGCTTTTTAAGATGTTGTCTAGGTTTGTCATCGCTTTTCTTCCAAGAACCAGGTGTCTTAATTTCATGACTGCTGTCACCATCTGCAGTGATCATGGAGCCCAAGAAAGTAAAATCTCTCACTGCCTCCATTTCTTCCCCTTCTATTTGCCAGGAGGTGATGGGACCAGTGGCCATGATCTTCGTTTTTTTGATGTTGAGCTTCAGACCATATTTTGCGCTCTCCTCTTTCACCCTCATTAAAAGGTTATTTAATTCCTCCTCACTTTCTGCCATCAAAGTTGTGCATAGCTGTCAACGTTTCCCTTTTTTTAAGGGAAATTCCCTTCTTAAGAATAGGATTCCTAGCAAGAAAAGGGAAAAGTTGAGAGCTATGAAGTTGTGTCATCTGCATATCTGAGGTTATCTTAATTCCGGCTTGGGATTCATCCAGTCCAACCTTTCGCATGATGAATTCTGCATATAAGTTAAATAAACAGGGAGACAATATACAGCCTTGTCGTACTCCTTTCCCAATTTTGAACCAATCAGATGACAGGTGCTCTGAGCCCCAAAAACCCATCCCTCATGGAAATACAGACAGAGTGGAGACAGAATTTAGTTTAAATGTTAATGGGCAAATTTTGGCCACAACTTTATTGAATACACAAATGTGACTGGTATTGACTTAGGCATTGGTATCAAAACTATAACTGGCTCCTGCCCCACCCTGCAGGAAACCTGTAAGGGTAAACAACCAGCAGGGGGATCTCCATCAGTGTATATTGACTGGTGCTCACCCCCGGGGTTCCCAGGGGTCCTGGCATGGCCCTAGCCCCTCTCCAGGCTTCGGACGAGATCCAGACCCCTGGATTCCTGTAACGGAATACCCTATTCATTGGAGGGGCAGGTGATGACCACACCTCCCCTCCCCACATTCCCTAAACCAATGCTTAACTGCCACATGAGCCAATCGCTCGCCACCAATACTGTCACTCCCGCAACCAATCTAATAAACTTTTTTCAATTCCAGCGAGCCATACATCACTACCGCCATCCGACAGGTGCACGCCATCCACCCTAAACAGGGCCGCATTTCTGAAAATAACATCTGGGTGGGGAATCAGCCTGCCACCCAGCAAGCACCTTCCCCACACTTTCTGGCTTTGTCCATAGCAGCTGGGCACACACTCCCGCGCCAAGCACACCTTGAAAGGAGCTGTAACCAAAAAATGGTTGGACCCTCGCTAGCTCCTCCAAGTACTTCATATTTTCTTTTCTTTTATTTATTTTGGTTTAAGGTTAATATAATGTGAGTCCATGTCCAAGCCTTTTAACAAAGGCAGGTCATTTTCGCCCAGCTGCACAACTAAGGCAGAAGGTGGGCCCCACAAGAGGCAACAGTTCATCCCAGCGCATCCTGGGCCTGGACAGCTAGGAAGCTCTCACTTGTCTTGGGAGGTGAAGCTGGAGACCCACACCAGACTCAGCAGCCCGTACGCTGGCCCAGGTCATTCTCCCCCAATTGGATCACAAGTGCAGAAGGCAGTCCCCAAGCCACCGCCTTAGCTATTCCACCTGGGGAGCAAACCCGCAAACCTGGCACCACCAGCACCAAGCTCCAACCAACTGAGATATCCCTTGATCTCAAGCCAAGGAATAAAACCATACTCATGGCCAGGTAAAGTATATAGAATAAGGCAACAATTAATTAAAGGTGTACTTCACCCAAGTGCAACCCCATTAAGCACAATTAGTGCCGGCAGGTCCTAAAAATCACTAAATATAGGTCTTGAAGCTGCTGGTAAAATTGAATTAAAACCCAAACTCCTAATTCCAATAACTGATAATCCCTAAACAGTACAGTGAAAAGAGGTGGATCAACGGCCTCGTCACTGGTCGCAGAAAAACTGGAAGCCCTGGCCCCAGAGACAGGTATAATGATCTGGGAAGGCAGTAAACCTTCAGCCTGAACCAACCCTCGTGGTTGACTCAGTAAAAGGATAAACCCAACTTTGCAAGGGAATTGAATTGGCACAAAAGTTTGTACATCAAAGATCTCCCTGCCACAGTTTGTTTGCTGCCAGGGGAAGATGCTCCATTTGGGCAAAGCAGGGCAGTGCCTAACCTTCAGTCTGACTTTTGCCAAACCCCACCTGCCTACTTTCTTGCTTACAACCAGGCCAGGGGGCGGGGAGTGGCATTGCTCATCAGCTTCCACCAACTGAGTCTCAGCTGCTGCCCTTCCACAGCCCTGCAAGGAAAAGGAGGGGGACAAAACTAGAAAGTAGTTGGCTCTAGCGCCACCTGCTGTTGGACTCCCTGCCTTCTGCCCCAGTGGGCACCAGCCAAAGCTGCTTGCTGGGAACTGCAATCCCCAGCAGCCTTTGCTAATCCCACTGAAATCACCAACAGCTGGCCCATTTATCTGAGCAGATGAACAGCTGGGAGGGAGGAGGATACAGGAGGTCAGTCATAAATTCACCACCACCACCTGCCTACAATGTGTGGGGTTTGAAGCTACCTAGAGGTGAGGGGAAAGCTCAGTGGGTTCTAAATGGGGTTTTCCTGTTTCTGCTCTATGTTCCTTCCTGGAAATTGATCCTCTGGCTTCAAATTGTACTCCTGTAGTAGCTGCTATTTGGGGGGCTGGTTTCTAGAGCTTCCTTGGTTCTAAAGAGATCTAGGTGAATTAAAGGAACCTTTTTTCTTCCTTCAGGGGAAAAAAGAGAGAAGCTGAAATCAGGAGATTCTCGATTGTAGAGGAAGAACTTTGGGAGACAGAGATTTATTCCCAGGATTGGGTAAGCGAAGGGAGTTGGTTTGCTGCCTCCTGCATTCAGTATTTTATAGACTACCTTTGCAGGAATGTGATTCTTTTTTTAAGGCAGATTCTTTAAAAAAAAATTGTGTAAACTGCCTTCGATTCCTGGTTTGAAGAAAAAGTCAGGATAATGATGATGACAATAATAAATGCACATTGGATGCATGGTGTGGTTCTGCAGCTTGAGCTTAAATAGCCTGGAGAAACTGCTTGATCATCTGCAAGAACTGCCAGCCTCTGTTAGCAGGGCAGTGCAGACAGAAGGTTGTAATGGGGAAAATAATGTGGGGTGACATTGTAGCATCTGGAGAAAGTGCCATTAACTCAGTGCTCTTCCTAATTTCTAATAGCTGTGCTGGAGATCCATGGAAGATGGAAAGCTCCTGGATCCTGTCTTGCGGGGTGAGCTGGAAGGTAGGGGGCGCCTCCATTACCATTTACTCCTGTGCTGTAAGAAAAACCTGCTCCTTTTTTCTTATGGGGTATTCTGGAGCCTGTATAGAGTCCCTAAGTGGGTTCCCTATTGGTAGTCGAAAATAAGAGACCAACCAGAGTATACTGAGAAGCAAAGCGGCTAGTAAGCCTGATCTTTATTAAAGGAAATGAACTGTTGCAACAGGGTCCCCACTCACCACATGCAGGAGGAAATAGAACCCTGAACAATGGTGCGCAAGCCCTTATATAGACTTTTGAAATTGCCCACCCTGTAGCCGAAGACCACTCCCCAAAACATCATACATACATCACAGAAGGTGGTGGTCTACAGCAGAAATCCTGTCTGCCAGGATACCGGATAATGGTCACTGATTGCTTTACCTGGGCAGCCTGGCCATTCTTTTGTAATGGTTAATACCAGGAGTAGGCAACCTAAATGAGTAGGGATTTGAACCCCAGTCTCCCAGCTCCTATTCCAACCACTACAACACCCTGCCTCCCTTCTTGAGAATAAGGAAAGCTACAGGCCAGTATAGTTAAAACTATGGTTTTTCCAGTAGTGATGTATGGAAGTGAGAGCTGGACCATAAAGAAGGCTGATCGCCAAAGAATTGATGCTTTTGACTTATGGTGCTGGAGGAGACTCTTGAGAGTCCCATGGACTGCAGGAAGATCAAACCTCTCCACTCTTAAGGAAATCAGCCCTGAGAGCTCACTGGAAGGACAGATCCTGAAGCTGATGCTCCAATACTTTGGCCACCTCATGGGAAGGGAAGACTCCCTGGAAAAGACCCTGATGTTGGGAAAGATGGAGGGCACAAGGAGAAGGGGACGACAGAGGACGAGATGGTTGGACAGTATTCTCGAAGCTACCAGCATGAGTCTGACCAAACTGCGGGAGGCAGTGGAAGACAGGAGTGCCTGGCGTGCTCTGGTCCAGGGGGTCACGAAGAGTCAGAAACGACTCAACGACTAAACAACAACAACAACAGGCCTTGGGGGAGGTTGTCATTTATCCCCATATTGTTGATCTAATCTTCCTCAAGGGGCTGAGTAGGCAACTTTTTCAGGCTCTGGAGGGCCTGAGAAATGTCTCTTGCCTCTTTCAAGGCTTAATACTGAACATCTAAAGCCCCTTAAAGCACTATGGCACTACAACTCCCAGCATGGCCAGTAATTGGGGTGATGGGAGTTGTAGTTCACCAACATACAGAGGGCCACTGCTTCATCATCCTTTCCCTTAAATACTTCAGTGTTTTCTTTTTTCCAAAAAAAAAATGTTTTTTTTCAACATAATATATCAAAACATATCATATTCATTATTTCCCCCACCCCTTTTTCCCCACCTCCCTCAAACCCTCCCTCCCCACTGAGACTTCCCTCAGCTACTCTCTCTGATTTCTCAACCCATATTATTCTCTGCATGTTATAAAATTATACAAATCCTCACATTATCTGTCTACCATGTTATCAATCAATAAATTTGTAAATGTTTATTCAAAACCTGCCAAGGTTTCATTTTTAAGTAATTTGTGAAAAAGTTCCCATTCTTCTTTAAAATCAGTTGTCCGTTATCTCACAGTTTGTATGTCGGTTTAGCCAGTTCTGCATAGTTCATCAATTTCTCTTGCCACTGTTCTTTTGTCGGGGTTTCCTAATTCTTCAATCCGCCGCCGCAAAAACAAGCATGCCGCCCCTGCGGCCTAACCGGGGGCCCGGCAGACCGCCCTTGCAGCCTAGCCAACAAAAGCTGAAAAGGGCCACAAAAACGCAGCCTAGCGAAAGAAAGAAGGCCGCAAAAATGTGGCCTAGTGAAAGAAAAAAGGCCGCAAAAACGTGGCCTAGCGAAGGCAAGAAGGCCGCAAAAATGTGGCCTAGCGAAGGGGAAAAGGCCGCAAAAACGCGGCCTAGCGAAGGAAAGAAGGCCACAAAAATGTGGCCTAGCGAAGGGAAAAAGGCTGCCAAAACGCGGCCTAGCGAAGGAAAGAAGGCCGCAAAAATGTGGCCTAGCGAAGGAAAGAAGGCCGCAAAAATGTGGCCTAGCGAAGGGGAAAAGGCCGCAAAAACGCGGCCTAGCGAAGGAAAGGAAACTGCAAAAACGCAGCCTAGTGAAAGAAAGAAGGCCACAAAAACACGGCCTAGCGAAGGAAAGAAGGCCGCAAAAACGCGGCCTAGCGAAGGAAAGAAGGCCGCAAAAATGTGGCCTAGCGAAGGAAAGAAGGCCGCAAAAACGCGGCCTAGTGAAGGAAAGAAGGCCGCAAAAACGCGGCCTAGCGAAGGAAAGAAGGCCGCAAAAATGTGGCCTAGCGAAGGAAAGAAAAAAGGCCGCCAAAACGCGGCCTAGCGAAGGAAAGAAGGCCACAAAACACGGCCTAGCGAAGGAAAGAAGGCCGCAAAAATGCAGCCTAGCGAAGGAAAGAAGGCCGCAAAAATGTGGCCTAGTGAAAGAAAAAGGGGCCGCAAAAACGCGGCCCTTAGCGAAGGAAAGTAAGGCCGCAAAAACGCGGGCCTAGCGAGGAAAGAAGGTCCGCAAAAATGTGGCCTAGCGAGGAAAGAAAAAAGGCCGCCAAAACGCGGCCTAGCGAAGGAAAGAAGGCCCGCAAAAACACGGCCTAGGCGAGAGGAAAGGGAAGGCCGCAAAAATGTGGCCTAGTGAAAGTCTTTCAGGCCTAGTGAAAGAAAAAGGGCCACAAAACACGGCCTAGCGAAGGAAAGAAGGCCGCAAAAACGCGCCTAGCGAAGGAAAGAAGGCCGCAAAAATGTGCCTTAGCGAAGGAAAGAAGGCCGCAAAAAATGTGGCTAGCGAAGAGAAAGAAGGCCGGCAAAAATGCTGGCCTAGCGAAGGAAAGAAGGCCGCAAAAACGCGGTCCTAGCGAAGGAAAGAAGGCCGCAAAAATGTGGCCTAGCGAAGGAAAGAAAAAAGGCCGCCAAAACGCGGCCTAGCGAAGGAAAGAAGGCCGCAAAAACGCGGCCTAGCGAAGGAAAGAAGGCCGCAAAAATGTGGCCTAGCGAAGGAAAGAAGGCCGCAAAAATGTGGCCTAGCGAAGGAAAGAAGGCCGCAAAAACGCGGCCTAGTGAAGGAAAGAAGGCCGCAAAAACGCGGCCTAGCGAAGGAAAGAAGGCCGCAAAAATGTGGCCTAGCGAAGGAAAGAAAAAAGGCCGCCAAAACGCGGCCTAGCGAAGGAAAGAAGGCCGCAAAAATGCAGCCTAGCGAAGGAAAGAAGGCCGCAAAAATGTGGCCTAGTGAAAGAAAAAGGGCCGTAAAAACGCGGCCTAGCGAAGGAAAGAAGGCCGCAAAAACACGGCCTAGCGAAGGAAAGAAGGCCGCAAAAATGCGGCCTAGCCTCGTGGAGGGGCCGAGCCACCCACCCCACCCCCGATCCAAGCAAAATGCGGAGGCCGGTTACTTACCTCAATCCGGCCACCTGGACACACTCCTGATGATCCTGATCCTGGAAGGAAGAACGGCAAAAGAAGCTTGGGCCCACCCCCGGCCGTCCATCCATTGTCCTCCCTGGCGAAGGGCGGGTCAAAGGCCAGCCCAAGCAGGTGGGTGGCACCTGCCCAGGTGAGCCCCGCTCGGTGCCACAAACCCCGCCCACCTGTGGGGAAGGGAGGACGGATATTCTTCCATCCTTGTGCTATCAAGACTCTTGCCGCTGTTGTTGCATACATAAATAAATTCTTTGTTTTCTTTGGCAGGTCTTGTCCTACAATCCCTAACAAAAATGCTTCTGCTTTTTTAACAAATGTCCTTTTAAACATTTTCTTCAATTCATTATATATCATTCCCCCCCCCCCCAAAATTTAACTTCTCTACATTCCCACCACATAGGATAAAAAGTCCCTTCTTTTTCTTTACCTTTCCAACATGTATTTGACCTGGTTTTGTACATTTTTGCTATCTGTACTGGTGTTATATACCATCTATACATCATTTTCATATAATTTTCTTTCAAAAGAAAACAGTCTGTAAATTTTAAATCTGTTTTCCACAATTTTTCCCAATCCTCAAATTGTATGTTATGTCCTATAGCTTGTGCCCATTTGATCATGACTGATTTTACCACCTCATCTTTTGTTTCCCATTCTAGCAGAATACTATATGCACTTTTCAGCAGCTTCACTTCTTCTATGACTTCCTTTTCAAATTTGGAAGTGGCATAACTAAATCCTTTCTTATTATCTTCTTTGTACATCTCGTGTAATTGCCTGTAATGTAACCAACTCTGAAAATGATCTTTTATTTCCTCATAATCTTTTAGTTTCCATTTTCCTTCTTGGTCCTTTAATAAATCTCTGTATGTAAGCCACTTCCCCTTTTTATCAAGTGGTTTGAGCAACAAAGCTTCAATTGGTGACACCCACCAAGGTGTCTTTTGTTCAATACTTTGATGTTTTCACATTCTGTAGAATTCTACGTGCCATATTTTATCTGGACAATCGGGATGAATTTCAGGAACCAAAAAGTCATATTGAAAAATACAGCTTTCGAACCCGTCTGGCCCCGAAAATGGCAACTAGGCATTCCATTTTGTCGACTGTGACCCTGGCTTAAGGAGCCATTTGGCTACCTGGCTTAGATATATTGAGTTTTCAAAGTGTTGGTGCTGACCTTTAAAGCCCTAAACGGCCTTGGCCCAGTATACCTGAAGGAGCATCTCCACTCCCATCGTTCAGCCTGGATACTGAGGTCCTCCTCCAAGGGTCTTCTGCTGGTTCCCTCCCTGCGAGAAGTAATGCTACAGGGAACCAGGCAGAGGGCCTTCTTGGTGATGGCACCCTCCCTGTGGAACGCCCTCCCACTAGATGTCAAGGAGATAAAGAACCACACAACTTTTAGAAGACATCTGAAGGCAGTCTTGTATCGGGAATTTTTTATGTTTGGCGTTTTACTGTGTTTACATGTCCTGTAAGCCACCCAGAGTGGCTAGGGAAACCCAGCCAGATGGGTGGGGTATAAATTATAAAATTATTATTATTTATAAAACTGATCTGGTTGGCCACTGTGAGAACAGGATGCCGGACTAGGTGGGCCATTGGCTTGGTCCAGTAGGGCTGTTTTTAATGGATGCCTTTCTGATGTTTCAGGTGTCTATGGAGAAGGAGGAGGCTGCAAATATCTCTGAGGCAGGCCAGGCTCAGGCAGCTGTGAAACGGAGGCAACCATGGCAGGAAAAGGAACAAGAAGTTGACAATGAGGAGGCCAGATGTCTGAGTAAGGAGAAGCTCTGCTTTCTGAGCCTGCATTTTTCATAGAATCATAGAATCATAGAGTTGGAATAGACCACAAGGGCCATCGAGTCCAACCCCCTGCCAAGCAGGAAACACCATCAGAGCACTCCTGACATATGGTTGTCAAGCCTCTGCTTAAAGACCTCCAAAGATGGAGACTACACCACACTCCTTGGCAGCAAATTCCACTGTCGAACAGCTCTTACTGTCAGGAAGTTCTTCCTAATGTTTAGGTGGAATCTTCTTTCTTGTAGTTTGGAGCCATTGCTCCGTGTCCGCTTCTCTGGAGCAGCAGAAAACAACCTTTCTCCCTCCTCTATATGACATCCTTTTATATATTTGAACATGGCTATCATATCACCCCTTAACCTCCTCTTCTCCAGGCTAAACATGCCCAGCTCCCTTAGCCGTTCCTCATAAGGCATCGTTTCCAGGCCTTTGACCATTTTGGTTGCCCTCCTCTGGACACGTTCCAGTTTGTCAGTGTCCTTCTTGAACTGTGGTGCCCAGAACTGGACACAGTACTCCAGGTGAGGTCTGACCAGAGCAGAATACAGTGGCACTATTACTTCCCTTGATCTAGATGCTATACTCCTATTGATGCAGCCCAGAATTGCATTGGCTTTCTTAGCTGCCGCGTCACAGTGTTGGCTCGTGTCAAGTTTGTGGTCAACCAAGACTCCTAGATCCTTTTCACATTTTTGATGCCCCCCAGTTTCTGTCTTCTTTTTAATATATATATTTTAATGAAATATTCTGTTTTACAATTTAGAGTATTCATTTAAACAACCTTAAAATATCAATGACTTCTCTTCTTCTCTTTCCTTGGTTCATTTTGCATAGCATAAATCCCTGCATGTTTTATATAAACTAAACCATTCAGCATTCCATTATTACATCCATCAAAACTTATTTACACTGTTGAATTTATCTTAATGCTGCCCACGTTTTCAAGCGTACAGAATCCCCCACCCATATATTCAATAAACATTTTCCAATCTTCTTTAAACAAATATTATTATTCTTCTCTTATTCTATAAGTTAGATCCGCAAGCTGCACATATTCCATCAGCTTAAGTTGCCCTTCTTCTTTAGTTGGGACCTCACTCGTTTTCCATTTTGGGGCTAACGAAACACGAGCCACCGTGGTGGCATACATAAATAACCTTTTTTGACACCTGGGAATTTCCATCTGAATTATCCCCCCCCCCCCCAAAAAAAAAGGACTTGGCTTTTTTGGAAAGGTGCTTTTAAACATTTTTTCAATTCATTATAAATTATTTCCCAATATTCTTTGACCCTTTTACGTCATCAAAAGGGTAAAAGAGGGAGCCCCACAGTTCCTAGCCTTGCCTTTTAGTTTCACATCTATTGCTGTTAGTGCTTGTGTAATGGGGTAGTTTTGTTGACAAATTTACCGTATTTTCAGCTCTATAGGACGATAAGACGCACCTAGTTTGGGGGGGAGGAAACAAGAAGAAAAAAATTCTGAACCCCAGAAGCCAGAACAGCAAGAGGGATCTGGCTTCTGGGATAACCTCTTGCTGTTCTGGCTTCGTGGACAGCCTTTGAAGCCACTGCAAGGCAGTGCGGTGAAGGCACCCTGCTGCCCTGTGGAGGTTTTGTGCACCTAACCCCAAGCTAGAACAGGGAGACGGAGCGCTGCACAGTGCTCCGTCTCCCTGAACTGGCTTTGGGCTTAGCCGCACAGCCTGCATTCGCTCCATAAGATGCGCACACATTTTCCCTTACTTTTTAGAAAGGAAAAGGTGCGTCCTATAGAGCGAAAAATACGGTACTTTGCAGGCTCCCATAAACACCTGGTTGATCACTGTTGGTACAAGATTCTGGACCAGATGGGCTTTTAGTCTCACCCAGCAGGGCTCACCTTAAAGCATTACAGTCCAGGAAAACCAAACAAAAATCTCCAGCAGCTGGGTCCTTCAGAGGGGATGCAATGTTTTCTTGTAGGAAAGGTTCCCAAAGCATTCACCTTATGACAATGGGTTTCACTGAATCATTGGTGAGCTCAACCCCTGGAGTTTAGGGACAGGGAACATTGCAAATTTGGAATATTGGAGCAGGTGGGTGAAGTGGACAGCTAAGTTTTCCCACCAGCCTTTCCAGAGGGGAGAATATGACTCACGATGGGGGAAGAGAGAGCAAACTGAGGTCTTGCTTGTCATTTTGGGTCTTTCTCTTTATTCCAACAGGTGATGTGCAGGTAGTTGAGAATGAGGTAGAACCATGTGCGATTCTGCCAGGACTTAAGCATGAAGATGTAAAAGAGAACTTGAAACACAAGAGAGTTCCTACAAGAGAGAGACCCCATAAATGTGAACAGTGTGGGACAAGCTTCAATTGGAAGTCAAACCTTATTGCACATCGAAGACTCCATGCAGGGGTGAAGCCATATACACACGCCAGGGGTGGAAAGAGCTTCTGTTGTACATCAAAAGTTGCCAGAAGTCAAGGAATTTGCACAGGAGAGATGCTCTATAAATGTGACGTGTGTGAAAAGAGCTTCAAGAGGAAGTCAAACTTGACTGCACATCGAAGAATTCACACTAGAGAGACATTTCATAAATGCTCAGACTGTGACCACAGCTTCAGTAACAGCACAAACCTTACTGCACATCAGAGAACCCATACAGAGAAAAAGCTAGACAGTGGCACCAGTTATGCTTCTCAAGCAAGCTCTATTGAACATAAAACAATCCGCACTGAAGAGAGACCTTATAAATGCTCAGCATGTGAACATAGCTGCAGTAGCAGCACAAACCTTATTGCACATTGGAGAGCCCACATAGAGAAGGCAGGTTGTGGCATAAGCTCTGTTCCTCCATCAGACTTTGTTGGAGATGACACAACCCGCTCTGTAAAGAAACATTTTATATGCTCCAAATGTCAGACGTGTTTCATGTCTCCCTTAAGCCTTGGAATACATCAGCTGGGTCACAAAGAGCAGGTACCGTAGAATTTTTCAGAACTTGTTTGCTAAATCAAAGGAAATAAAGGAATTTACACAGGAAACGCTTGGAGTGTGGGGAAAAGTGTACACCTTCTTACACACCAAAGTGATGTGCAGCGTAACTTAATAATGCAGAGTTTTAAAGAATAAAAGCTTTACTGAATTAAAATAAACTTCTTCATAAACAACATGGTTCCAAACAGTTTGAATGAGATTACATACTGACTCTGCTCACAACTGAAACAGTTTCTCACTGAAATTTTACAGAGAGCACAAAAGAGAAACTGACTGCTAAGTCACATGTCAGAGTGACTCAACACTTAGCAGTTAGTCCTGAATAACTTTAGTAGGCCCAAATGATTGTGCAGTCCCTGCACTTCCCAGCCTGCTTTGCTGCTTCTGTTCTCATGTGTCTTTGTCACATGACACAAAGAACCCACAGAGGGGAGAAATTATCATGAGAGAATATCCCAATGCCTGTAGCTCGTGAGATGGGGTTCTGCCTTAAGGTTTCTGAGCCTTTGAATACAGTCACAATGCCCTGCTACATTTAACTGGTTATCTTATGTGTAATTGCCTGCCTTTCGTGGGCACATGGGATATTTTGATGATTTAAAACTACATAAAAACTATACTTGCGAAGTACATGTTCTCCCTCCCTCAAGTTCTGGGCACTGTGGTTTGTTAAGGGCTGCTGGGAATCCTAAAGGTAAAGGTACCCCTGCCCGTTCGGGCCAGTCTTGCCAGACTCTAGGGTTGTGCGCTCATCTCACTCTAGAGGCCGGGAGCCAGCGCTGTCCGCAGACACTTCCGGGTCACGTGGCCAGCATGTCAAAGCTACATCTGGCGAGCCAGCGCAGCACACGGAACGCCGTTTACCTTCCTGCTAGTAAGCGGTCCCTATTTATCTACTTGCACCCGGAGGTGCTTTCGAACTGCTAGGTTGGCAGGTGCTGGGACCGAACGACGGGAGCGCACCCCGCCGCGGGGATTCGAACCGCCGACCATGCGATCGCCAAGTCCTAGGCGCTGAGGTTTTACCCACAGTGCCACCCGCGTCCCTGCTGGGAATCCTAGTGAACTACAATCCACGGAATTCTCAAGGGGCGAGGAATGTGCTTTGCAGTAATAGTGTATACGTGGCCTTGTTGAACAATTGTAACAAAGTAGAGTTTCTCATTTAAATGTCCAATAAATGACACTGTTCTCACTCAACACAGTTAACAAACATTCTTTGTTTAGATGTCAGTAGGGTCCAATATTAAAAGTAGTAGTAGTGGCCGGTCTGTATAAGGCCTCAGTCACACTTGGACTTTTAATGTGGACTTGAAGTTTCTTGTTTGTTTCTCTCTTTTTTTTAACCTCTTTTGCCCAGAACTGCTCTGGCAGAAACTGCTGTACTTAACTGAAACACAAACGTTTTAAAATGTGGGGTGGGGGTGTTAATGGGTTGTTGCTTTTTTTGTTTTTATTATGTATTTTGAGTTTTTATGTTGTAATTTTATCCTGTGAACTGTACTGAGAACTGTGGGTAAATGGAGGTATATACATTCAATAAATTATACTAAAATCAGGCCAGGAAAACAATTGTTACAAGTTCCAGGGGGAGTCCCTGCAGAAGGTTTTCCCATGTTTTGGGGTTTTCCCATGTTTTAGGGTTTGCCTTGACCCCAAGCTCTATGGGGAGACTAAGGAATATCATCCACCTGCCCAAGTTCACCTGCAGGGAGGGGAGCAGGAGAAAGATCTGCCCTTCCATTGGGAAAAGATTTCCTATCCCCATACAAAGGGGGAGAGACCTATAAATGCATTGTTTTAGCGGAAAATATACAGGAATGCAAGAACTATGGGAAATGTAAATATTAGGGGAAATACCCTTTGCAAAAGTGTGTACATTAGGAGAGATCTGCACCAAAATGCTGACCAATTTTCAAGAGGTCTTTAAAAATAATAAGATGTGAAAATCTGGACAAACTGGTAACTAGAAAAAGAAGACATGGAAAAAACTTAAAATTGAAATGTTTTGCTTAATGGGTTTTTTTAAATCCCTCCCCATACTCCCTCCAGCAGGAGCACCCACCCCCCACTAATAATAATACATAATAATATGACCCACCTGCAGCGCCTCCGCGAGGAAGGACAGCCGCAGCCAAGCCCAGCATCTTCCCCGGGGAAGCGGGGAGCCTCTAAACTCAAAGAATCCCAGACGTCACAAGTTCATGTAGGGTAGAACTTGAACCCAGAGCTTCAAGGGACAATGAAGACGACCCAACATCAGGAAGAAGTGCTTTCTGGCAGTCAGAGCTTCTGAACAGAGCAAACCAGGTCCCCATCGGGAGGTGGCGGCCTCTCCTTGGAGGTTGATGAGCAGAGGTTGGATGGCCATCTGTCATGGATGCTGGAGCTGAGATTCCTCCATTGCAGGGGCTTGGGCTAGATGACCCCCGGGGTCCCTTCCAACTCTATGATTCTATGATAGGGTTTCTGTGACCCCCTCTCACCTTCCTCCTTGTGTGTGGATGGTGGATTAATAGCAGCACACGCAGGAATCCAGAACTCAAGCATCCAGGACCGATGGGCATCCCACCTCTGCTTCAAAACATCCCAAGAAGGAGAGCCCACCCCCTTCCACCCCACTGTCAGGCAGCTCTTACTGTCAGAAAGTTGTTCTTGAGCAGGGGTCAGCAACCTTTTTCAGCCATGGGCCGGTCCACTGTCCCTCAGAGCATGTGGTGGGCCGGACAATATTTTGGAGAACGAATTCCTATGCCCCACAAACAACCCAGAGATGCATTTTAAATAAAAGGACACATTCTACTCATGTAAAAACACCAGGCAGACCCCACAAATAACCCAGAGATGCATTTTAAATAAAAGGACACATTCTACTCATGTAAAAACACACTGATTCCTGGACTGTCTGCAGGCCGGATTGAGAAGGTGACTGGGCCGCATCTGGCCCCTGGGCCTTAGGTTGCCTACCCCTGTTCTTGAGGTTGGGTCAGAATCTCCTTTCTTGTCAGCCATGAGTCCTACCTTCCAGACAGTTTAGAACACCTTTGGGTTTTTTTAAGTTTAGCAGGGGAAAGGCAATTAAGAGGCAACACAATAGGAATTTGTACAGTTATTCACAGCATAGAGAAAGTGGGCAGAGGAAAGTTCTAACACTAGAACTGGGAAGCTGGATGCGGGGAGATCCAGCTCTTCTTCAAAACACAGAGTCCAACTCTGGGACTCACTCCCCAAGGAGACAGGGATGGCCACTGTTATAAGTGATAAAACTGCTCCTTTCCCCATATGGGGCACCCAAGAGCCCATACAGAGTCCTTCTGTAGGTTCTCTATTGGTAGGAGAGAATAACAGAGGCCAACCAGAGAATATTGAGAAGCAAAGCAGCTAGTAAGCCTGATCTTTATTAACTGTTGCAACAGGGTGCTCCCCCCACACGCAGAAGGCAGCCTTGAAAACAAACCTTTATCAAATGCAAGGAAACCTCTTTTTCTGCTTATATGTGCAGAGCTTCTCAAAATAATATTGATGTACACATGCATTAAGGAATGGAAAAGATAGTTTAATTATCCACAAAATAGGTGTGCAATTGTCAGAAATAAGAGCAGACAATGGTCCCGGCTGCAAATCTGAAAGTTCAAAGGTTGGACTATAATGTACCTCAATCACCACCCTGTCCAAAAGCTCATCTCCTGCTGGGATACCTCCCCAGCTAGATTTCCATCTCAGAGTCCTGGTGAGAGCTCTAAGGAATGGGAGCTGCAGCAGGAAGGATCCCACCCTTCCTGCTCGGTCCAGCTTTTGTGGTTGCTCACTCAACGACCATTTCTATGGAGCTGCTTCCTTTCCTCTTCAGGCAAAATTGATGAAATCAAGCTCTCGTTTCATCCTCAAGGTGACTTCCAGAGTGCCCTTTTCGGAGAGGAAAGAGGCCTTGCCACTCTTGGTATCCACAGGGTGAGGCAGGTGCAAGAGAAGCTTCCTGGGAAACAGAAAAGTAGAAGCTGTCACCTGAAGCTGCCATATGAGGAAAAGGAAGGAAGGAAGGAAGGAAGGAAGGAAGGAAGGAAGGAAGGAAGGAAGGAGAAGAAGAGGAGGGGTTTGGACTTGATATCCCGCTTTATCACTACCCGAAGGAGTCTCAAAACTGCTAACATTCTCCTTTCCCTTCCTCCCCCACAACAAACACTCTGTGAGGTGAGTGGGGCTGAGAGACTTCCAAGAAGTGTGACTAGCCCAAGGTCACCCAGCAGATGCATGTGGAGGAGCAGAGACGCAAACCCGGTTCCCCAGATTACGAGACAACCGCTCTTAACCACTACACCACACTGGCAGGAAGGAAGGAAGGAAGGAAGGAAGGAAGGAAGGAAGGAAGGAAGGAAGGAAGGAAGGAATCTTTGTGGCCAAGGCTGAGGGGGGCCTCTACCTCAAACATTAAAAACTTCCCATCAGATGCCAAGGAAATAAACATCCATCTGACTTTTAGAAGACATGCCAAGGAAATAAACATCTATCTGACTTTTAGAAGACATCCAAAGGGAAGTTTGAGGTTTTTTGTGTTTTCAGTATTTTGTCAGAAGCTGCTCAGAATGGCTGGGGCAACCCAGTCAGATGGGCGGCATATAAATAATAAAATTGTTGTTGGGGGGGCACACAAAGAGTTCAGAAACTCTCCCCACCAAAAACAATAATTTCCTTCCTTCCAGATCTTTGGCAGCCACTGATTCCCACGTTCAAAGCTTTTTCCTGCACACAAAGCTTGCGTGCATCTTTCTGAAAGCGCTAGCCAAGACTCAAGGGTGTACTAAGAAAAAGGCAGAGAATAGAGCGTGTTACCAGACACCAAAAACAGCCAGCCCCTGTCCCCAGCCCTGAAGTGTCACACTGGAGGTCACAGGCCGATGCAAAGTCTGCCTTTCTACCAAAGAATCTTCACACTGCAAGTCAGCCGACCAACCAGCCAACTATGTAAGGTGCATTCCTCGTGTGTGCAGGAG